TATTAAGCTTTGGAAGTAATTATTCCTCAAATCCAACAATGTTATAAAAACCTCTGGGACTTCCGGTAAGATATCTAATGATTTCTAAGATACAACGATTCCGACAAATGGACAATTTTGCTGTTGCACCCGGTATATTACAGAAACTGAACCCCGAGTTAAAATATTGTGTTCTTTAATCTTTTTAAATTATTTCTCTCCAAAGAAGGCACCAGATACACTAAGTCGCAAGTCGGTGACGAAGTGTTAGAGAATACATGAAAAAAATACTATTAAGGAGAGAGAACAATAAAGACACAAGAATTGAAAAGACAGAGAATAAAATTTGGCATTGCGTGTAAGCCGGAAGAGAGTTCCACAAAAACTGATTTTCATGACATCGTTGACTTACAGACACGCACACATGCGTTCGCTCGCGCACACACACATCTATCTATCTATCTAAATATATATCTATCTATCTATCTATCCACACACACACACACAAACACAAACACACACACACACACACACACATATATATATATATATATATATATATATATATATATATATATATATATATATATGCACATTTCATTGAATACGACAGAAAAGTTACTTTTATTTAGTATTTTATACAATTTCTTATGCGATCTAATATTTCTTTTTCTTTTCAGATGATAAATTATATAAAAACTGTCCGAATGTTCTTTTTATTCGAGCGCTTTCGGCTATACATTTACCCATTTTTATTAGATCGCATGAGAAATTGTATAAAAACTAAATAAAAGCACCTTGTACCTCGTATTCAATGAAATGTTTATGAATGAAGGATTACTGCCTAAATACACACACACACATACACACACACATATATATGTGTGTATGTGAGTATATTTAAAGTGTGCTGACGATTGCGTCTAGCATTAAACAGCCTATCGCCTCTGAGTGTTGTCTTCTATGTTCACTTTCATATATATATATATATATATATATATATATATATATAAGTGAACATGGAAGTCAACACTTAGAGGCGACAGTCTGTTTCATGCTAGATACAATCGTCAGGCCACTCTATATCCACTTCTATGTTCACTTTTACATTTACACACGCTCTATCTCTGATATTGAGCACTTTATCCCATAAATATAGCATATCTTAAGACTATATATATATATATATATATATATATTGGCTTAGGTCAAATTAAGCTAACGTAACGAAATATTTGTTTTCATTGTTTTTTGTACTAAATATTCTCACTATACAAGGCCCTTAAAATATTCCAAATAGGCGGTTACCTAATGAGAGTCAGTAGATGAAGTAAAATGTAAGATAGATGACGGCTGATCATCAACCTGAAGAAGGTAACTATGTAGTGATGGGGAAATGGTGATTGTGGGGGAATGGGAATAAGTTGATCCTGTGTAATTTGAACGTCACACCCCCACCAGCTCTAAAAAACTTAACAGGTTTAAATAAGAAATAAAGGCCTTCTGAACATCTGAGTTAGGAATAGCGATTGGCAAGTAAAATTTCGTCTGTAAGCAATGGGGTATACAAGGCTAATTCATCGCCAACTAGATTTTGTAAAACATATTTCAAGATTGTCGAGACCGGAAAGTTAGGTATGTGTAGCTCCAACCCTGGTCTGATCTAACTCTTTTAAATCATAAATGATCTGACTCTTTTAAATCATGGCAGGTGGTGTCAGTTACTTTCTGCAGTGTGAATCGTATATATGTGTTGCACGTGAGGTCTGGTTTGAATTTTAGTTACATAAACACTCAAGGCAAAGAGCCAAGTAACCTTTTGATTCATCTGCGATTCTTGTTATGCCTAGCTTTTATTTCATCTGTTTTATGTTATATTCCTATTCTTTCTGTATACCAAAGAGCTGATGCCGATTAAATGGTAAGGCAAAATTCGAATCTTAATTTCTTAAAATTCACTAGAATATTTCGTCATTTACTCTCACCTAATATGCGAGGGACCTGAAGCTCTCGTATATACATACATTTTCCTCTGAAGTCTGAGGTGGGCGCCCTGTGGATTTTGTTTAGTTAACTGAGTGCATTACAAACACTTTTCCATATGTTGCAAACTGGAAGAAGGTTTGTGGTCACCTACTCCTGCATTCGGTGGCTTGGTGTTGTAGCAAAACGGGACGGTTGTTTGGAGTACTAGTTGTAACCCGTCTTCTTTTCAGTCACGCTCTTCTCGGCTCATCTCATCTCATCTAATCTCATCTCCTCTCAGTTCAACTCAGGTCATTCATTTCCTCTCATCTCATCTCTGCTCATATCATTTTATATCATTTCAGCTCAACTCATATCATCTCATCTCATCTCAGCTCTGCTCAGCTCTGCTCATATCATTTCATCCCATCACTTCTCAGCTCAAGTCATTTCACATCATCTCAGCTCAGAACAACTCATCTCAGCTCAACTCAAGTCATTTCATACCATCTCAGCTCAGAACATCTCATCTCATCTTAGCTCATCTCCTCTCATCTCAGCTCTGCTCATATCATTTAATCTCATCTCATCCCATTTTAGCTAAGCTCAGGTCATTTCCTCTCATCTCATCATATCAGAGCTCATATCATTTCACCTCAGCTCCTCTCATCTAAGCTCAGTTTGGCTCAGTTTGGCTCAGCTGCTCCTGATGTTCATTCACTTATGCTCGCTTTACCAAGTGACGGAAGCTCATAAATTTGCATAAGCTACAAATTGTTCTCAAAAGATCTCAGAGATAGGACATAGATCAAGTTGTTCTTAAATTGTAGTTTATTGGAAAAACGATGTTATTTCATCACGTAATTTGCACGCAAGACGCGTACGAGAACGCGTTTTTTTTCCAGGGCGTAAGCCATCTTTCTTTCTACAGGTTTAACACCAGCTCAAGACTGCAAATGTCTTCTAGCGACGGTCTGCTTTGAGATTTGAATGTCAAATTGATTTTTTCATAAAACTACAGTATGTTTTATTTTTATTATTTGGACTATTCTCCTCATCTTTGTCGCCATATTTATTACAACTTTTCAGCCGTTGTACGCTCTGGCTTCTTCAGGTGGTTGGAATGTCGAACTTAACAATTTATTTCACTCACTGGGGTAGACTCTTCTAGTTCCACGTTCCATGCTTAATGGATGTCAGTGACCAGTTATTTCTGTTAATTTCCCTCTGAAAGTTCTCCGCTGCCTTAACCGGGTATTGAACTCACACACTTTGGGTACTTTATCCACTGTCCCATGTGCCCTTATATTAATTTCTGGGTATTATAAACCTAATGTCATTAAGACATTAGGCTTATAATACCCAGAAATTCATACGTTGTAATAATGGATATGGCGACGAAGATGAGGACAATAGTCCGAATAATGTAAATAATGTACATAATACCTCATCACAGAAATATAGACAGATACAGTATGTTTTGTTATTTCTTTTCTTAGATTTTTCCCCAGTATTGCTATTTCCATGTGTTACCAGCAATTTAGAAACAAATCTATGAAAGTAAAATATGATGATGTAAAGCGGTTAATTTGGAAATTGTTTAATAAAAATTGTCACCCTGAAAAGAACGTTGCTAATATACATAAAGACTAAGATGTCTAATGAATAGATGATATCCAGGTTTTGTTTTTTCACACTCAATTATAATTTCAGTCCAGGGTAACAGATTAGGTGTCTTGCTCAAATTCTGTTTCGTCTTTCATGATTAAATTCCATACTTGACTTACTCTTTTTTCTTAGGACGATACAGATTACAAAAACATCGAGGGATTGAAATTGATGCAAGTAGAGTGAAAAGATCAGTACAAGGGTAATCGGGTGTTCATGCGTTTTGTTTTAATTTATTTATTTAAAGCTCTCAGGTTTTAGGATTAAATGAAATCAAATTCCAATATGTCCGCAGCTTCATATTGAGAAAAGAGCGCATAGATCTGGAATAATTATGCTTAATACAGTTTTCATAAAGACAGTCGTTCAGCATGGATCCAATTTACACAGAAAATAATGCTAATCAGTTTTCAGCCAGTAACACTTTTCGAAATAAATATCGTTTTAGTCGTAGGGGCAAAACATGTACTGAAACCGTCGTAGCAGTAACGCGTCTTGGACAAGACTGGGGAAGCCCAAATTTCTCCAGAATAGTTTGAATTCAGTTTTGCTTCTCTTAGACTAGTCGATAAGTATTCAGCACCCTGTCAGTCCTGCTATTTACCCATAGCTAGTGGAGAAGAGATGGATTCATACCATACACAAGATAAGTTCATTATATTCACATAAGTAAATATAATAAATTTGTCTGGAATTCGAAATCAGCTCAGCGATTCCTCTGCTCGAGCCAATATCCATTACTCCACCGTGCCTCCATTTGATTTATAATTGCCAAAATCCATTTCTTCTTTCATTGGTTTGAGTCTATATACATACTTCACTGTGACAGGAAATTTGGTAGAATTTATTAAATTGTTGGAATTTTGGTTACAGTTATTTGAGACAAAAGTGAATGATAAAAATTTAGAAGCTCAAAACAAAACCAAAACACAAACTTTTGATATGGTGTTCAAATTGCTTTCCCTGGGCAGTTGTACAAAAACGTATAGCGTCTAACCAACCTCTAGTCGCCCTTTGGATAATTTTAAGCAGATTATTGTTCAAAGCTTCTGTCAACAGAGTTTTTAAGGGTTGCATGTCTGTGATCTCCCTTCCTTTTGTAATTGAAGTTGATGTAACAGAAAACCCCACATGTTAAAACTGTTTTTCATCATGCATTAAATCTAAAATATCAAGTATAACGATGATGCAATGTCAGGGGAGACATTCAAGAGTTTGCGATAGGAACAATATGTGTCTGGAAATAAGCTCTAAATCTTTGAAAGCATTACGACTGGTGACAAAAATTTCCGGGTATCAACCGACACCATAAGTGTATAACGTAGTCATGAAATGTGTCAAGGAAGAGGGTATACCAGAAGGCTGACTGAATTTGTTTTGTGACGGCTTACAGCCATATCACGTTGAAACACCCGTTCTTGTCCGATCACAGAAGATAAGCAATGCTGACCCTTGTCAGTTCTACGATGGGTAACTTCTTGGGAATACCAAATGCTAGAAACTTACATATAATGGATAACGGCTCGGAATTGGATATCTGATAGCCGAGTTCCAATTCCAGTCGAGTTCGTTATATTTTAAATGTAAATATCCTTGGGAAAGGCATGAATCCACCTCTTCAACTCCCACATATAAACTAAATAAGACTTGTGCTAGAAAATCATAATGTTCTAAAAATATTCTTCCAACTTTAAGGTTAATAAGCAGGAAAAAAATCAATCAATTTTGTGAATGTCGTGTATATAAATTCGATGATTATATTTTACAAGCATCCGACTTAGATTAGTAGGACTCCGACAAATAATTTAGTCGGGTGTTTACGTTTCCACTACGTAAGTGTGTAAATATGCTTTGTGTGCAGAGACTCTGTGCAGGATTTCTGGTCTTGTAAGAGAATAAATTGATAAAACCGTAGAAATAATTTTAGGAACAATTAGCATCGTTCCTGCCGATTGGAAAAATACCAGATCTTCATCAACTCACAATTTATAAGAAACCCACTTCAGACATTAGTCGAGGTTATTCGCTTTGTTTTAACTACGTTCATTAACGCTGACTGAAATCTGTGACCCTGTAACTGAAAAACTATTCTTCAGATCCGTCCTGGGTATGATGATAAACTACATCCGGCAGAAAGTCCTCTCACCGGGAGAATTTAAAGAGCGTGGAACCAGCTCTTGATTACTGTTGTTGCCAGATCTATCGTGAACCGGAGTGGTAGCAGCACCTTTTAGTTAACCCTGTGGTCAAAACACTATGAATGTACGAAAATATGTAGTTGAAGAGCCAGCAAGATATTTTCATAGTAGAAGAATTACAAGCAATATATTTTTGTAAAAAAAAATTAAATGCTACCAACAATACATTTTGGTAAAAAAAAATACTACCAGCAATACTTTATTTATAAAAAAAAAGCCAAACATAAAGGAATACATTCTTTGTAAAAAAAAAAGAATAAATACTAAAGCAATACATTTTTGTAAAAAAAATCCAGCAATATATTATTTGTAAAGAAATACTACCAGCAATACATTTTGTAAAAGTAAAACATACATCAATACATAGTTTGTAAAAAAATACTAACAGCAATAGATTTTTGAAAACAAGAAATCCAGCAATATATTATTTATAAAAAAATAAATACTACGAGCAATACATTTTTGTAAAAAAAAAACATACAGCAATACATACTTTGTAAACAGAAACGATCCCAGCAATACATTTTTGTAAAAAGAACATGAAGCAATATATTCTTTGTGAAACAAATTAAGCACTACCAGCAATATATTTTTGTTCAAAAAACGAAACATCCAGCAATAATTCTTTGTAAAAAAAAAATGCTATAAGCAATACATTTTTCTGAATAAAAACATCTAGCAACCATCCTTTGTTAAAAAAAAAAAAAAAAATGAATACTACCAGCAATACATTTTCGTAACATAAAGATCCAGCAATGTATTATTTGTAAAAAAATATTACCAGCAATACATTTTTGCAAACGCAAAACATACAGTAATATAGTGTTTGTAAAAAAAAAATAATAACAGCAATAGATTTTTGTAAAAAAATCCAGCAATATATTCTTTATAAAAAAATAAATACTACCAGCAATTTATCTGTGTAAAAAAACATGTAGCAATACAGTTCTTTATAAAAAAAAAAATACTACAATATATTCTTTGTAAATAATTTAAATTTATCATTTTTTCAAAAAACGAAACAAAAACAATACATTCTTTGTAAAAAACATACTACCAGCAATACATTTTTTGTAAAAAACAATACAATACATTCTTTTTTTTAAAAAAAAATACTACCAGCAATACATTTTTGTAAAAACAAAAGATACAGCAATATATTCTTTGTAAATAATTTAAATACTCCCAGCAATACATTTTTTTCAAAAAACGAAACATTCAGCAATACATTCTTTGTAAAAAAAATACTACCAGCAATACATTTTTGTAAAAAAACAAGTCTAGCAATACATTCTTTTTTTAAAAAAATAATACTCCCAGCAATACATTTTTGTAAAACAAATCCAGCAATACATTCTTTGTATAAAAAATAAATACTACCAGCAATACATTTTTGTAAAAAAACATCCAGCAATATATTATTTGCAAAAAAAATTAAATACTCCCAGCAATACATTTTTGTTAAAAAAAACATCCAGCAATATATTATTTGTAAAAATATTAAATACTACCAGCAATACATTTTTGTAAAAAAATAAAATAAAATTACTTACTAGTCTCAATACATTTTTGTAAAAAAAAATATAACAATACATTTTTGTAAAAATAAAATATAAAAGATATTAGCAGCAATACATTTTTTTAAAAAAAATAAAAAACATTACCAGCAATACATTTTTGAAAAGTAATATTACCAACAATACATATATAATGCTAAGGATATTATAGACCGAGCGTGTGACCAACGATGAGGTGTTGGAGAGGATGCGAGTAAGGAGAAGGCTTATACTTAACATCAGGAAAAGGCAGATGAAGTTTCTGGGACAGGTAATGAGAAAGGAGGGCCAGGAGAATGTAATACTCACAGGTCGAATAGAGGGAAAGAGAGACAAGGGAAAACAATGCATGACATACCTGGCGGGCAGGTGGATGACATAACGTGGCCTGGGGGATGTAGCAGAGGGAAGGAACTTGTTGAGAGCTGTAAGGGATACAGGGAGGTGGAGACCCATGATCGCCTACGTCCTGAAATTACACGACACATAAAAAGAACCATTCAACAATAAAAACACATTAGTACTCGGTTCAATGAAAGTATTTTTGCGAAATAATTTCGAATTTCTGCCAAAGTCAGTACCAGTGACTAAATTTGTATTTGTAATGATGATACAAAATCAGGAATATTTTAGTTCCTTGATTTATATCGGAAAAAAAGCATTACTTTATTTTGACGACTTGGTATTTGCGTAAAGTTACCAAAACCAGTAATTCATTATCTTTTCGCTACTTTTGAAGAGTATTATTATTATTTTCTTTAATATATTAGTTGCTTACTCACAATGCCAAACTCGACAGTAAGATCTGAAATAAAGGTTTAGCTTTTGGGGAGATTTATCCAAATCTCACTTAGCCCCGAGCAGCCGGCTGCTTTAACACTTAGACTACAAATTCAAATGAATAAGTTTTTTCTTTCGATTCATTCTTCCATTTATCTCAGCGATTTTATCGTTTCTTTTTTTTTAAAACTAAGCATAATTACTGTCTATATCTCTGAGATGATGTATTATGATTTCTTACATTATTTACATTATTCGGGCTGTTATCCTCATCTTCATTGCCATATTCACAACGTTTCGGCCTTTATATCTCTGAGATGAGGTATTATGATTAGTTACATTATTTACATTATTCAGATTGTTATCCTCATTTTAATTGCCATATTCACAACATTTCGGCCACTATATCTCTGAGATGAGGTATTATGATTACTTTATTTACATTATTCGGACTGTTATCCTCGTCTTCATTTCCATACTCACAACGTTTCGGCCTCTATATCTCTGAGATGAGGTATTATGATTACTTACATTATTTACATTATTCGGACTGTTATCCTCATCTTCATTGCTATATTCACAACATTTCTTGCTCTATATCTTTGACATGAGCTATTATGAATACTTATATTATTTAAATTCTTCGGACTGTTATGTTCATCTTCACTGCCATATTCACAACGCTTCGGCCCTTATACGCTCCGGCCTACTTCAGGTCATTAGATTTTCGAACCGAACTCTTCCGTCTACCAAATTACTCTCACAAGATTTGGGTCAACAAATGTCAATAATGTCAAGAAGTCATCTTCTTGAAAAATCTACCATTCGACAAATTCGGACATAGGTTTCAGGGTCGGAAATCTAAATAATGCGCCCATATTAATAAATATATTAAAATTAATATGCTTATTTATTATGCTTGCTTACATTGTTTACATTATTCGGACAGTTATCCTCATCTTCATTGCCATATTCACAACGTTTTGGCCGTTGAACGCTCCGGCCTTCTTCGGGTAATTGGAATTTAGAACCGAATCATTTATTTCGTCCACCGAGCTAGTTCCACGTGTCATGCCTCTTCCGGATATATCAATTATTTCTCTTTAATTCGACTCTCCAAGTTTGATTGGGTTTGCTGTGGCTTGGTATTGAACTCGCAACTCTTTCTGGATCTAACCCACATCTTTATCCACTGGGCCATGTATCCTTGAGTCGTCAATTTTTCAAGAAGATAACTTCTTGACATTATCGGCTTTGTTGAACCAAGCCTTGTGAGTGTAATTTGATAGACGGAACTGCTTGGGCGTCGTCGATGTTTGTGTTAGCAAGAAGTCACAAGTCATCGTGCCAGAGGGATTGAGTGTACGTAACTAGATCAGATTGTTATGTTCTTTCCAAGTAACTGTAAGATCCGCTCAGTATTGTTGCAGTCTAAAGCATCATGAGTGTTGAACAAATAAAAATGCGTCTTGGCAGGCGTCAGCAATAGGCATTGGCTAATCGCAGGAATGACAGACATCCTCGGATACAATCATCCAATCATTATTTCCAAAGATAAGAACATATTGACATGGTTAACGACTACCTCTTTCAGATGTGGTCAGTCTATTTCTCACTTTATACTTGAACTTCATTTTCTTTAATCTCCATAAAGCAAGATGAATTTTAAAAATTACAAGTTATATTATTCCTGATATTTTGAGATTAGTTTACCATTCCCCAAAAAAAGAAAGAACATCGTTCTGTCGATAAGCTGAAGAATGGAAATAAAAATAAAAGAATTATAAATGCCTTCATTTTGAACATTGTGAAATATTTGATGACAACCAAACAATAAAATATTGTTGCTTAGATTAAAAAGAATATTATAACTTTGATGTTATGTATAGACGCGCGCATTTTCTGTGAAGTAGGTCGAATTATATATATGTATATATATATATATGTGTATATATATATGT